ACCCTGATGTTGGGAAAGTGTGAAGGCAAGAGGAGAAGCGCACAACAGAGGACAAGATGGATGAACAGTGCAATTGAAACTACCAACATAAATTTGACCAAACTCTGGGAGACAGTGGAAGACAGGAGGGTCTGGCGTGCTCTGGTCCATGAGGTCACGAAGAGTCGGACACGACTTAACGACTAAACAACAACAAGCATGTTAAGGGTTGCATTCTTGAAGGAATAGGAACATTCTTATGTTGAGACAGTATATGACAATTTATTTGAAAAGGTAGGAACCATGAACAATGGGAAAAGAGCATGTAATAGGAACATTGTCCTTGTAACTCGTGCATCAGTAGCACCCAAAAAGCTTTCCTTTCCTTTCCTTTATTTTGCTGTTTTTCACTAACATAATCATTGTTACCCTTAGAAAAGATTATATGGCATAAAACACTTCTGCTGTGCCGGTTGCAAAGAATCAGAGGTGCAAAACAATGTATTATATAACAGAGGAACACTGTTAACACCAGAAAATGAATAACACATAATTATCATTCTTTTAGAATCTGCTCAAATAGAAAGAAGCCTTGCTAGACCCATATTTTTTTTATATTCTAATCTCTATAGGGATATCATCACTCATTTTATTTATGTTTGCTGTATTTTTTTTTCCTTTTAGCACTATACATAAACAATAAACACTAGCATTTTGTAAATAGTAAGCATGTTAGTTCGTTTCAGGAGCATCTCAAAGCCGAAGAAATTTACTATAACATGAGCTTTCAAAAGCCAAGTTTTTTGCTGCCATTATTAATTAGAAACAGATACCATGGAGACATCAGTCATTTACCTGACTTGATAAGAAGCTCTGAAGGAGTCGAAGATTCGCAGTTTGTGCAAATGTGTGACGTTATCAATATCAGCATTAACATGGATTTTACTTCTGGCCAACATAGCTACCTTTGGTTGATGGTGATGATGATGATCAGATCAAGGCCACAGAGAGTTTGAGCCTCTTTGGGATTGGTTTTGTTGAAACTTATCATTTTGTATTAATTTAAACTTAAAGTAAGTTTCATCAATTGAATGGATTTCTAAAACTAGCTTGATTTTGACACCAAAGCTGCTGTGCTGTCACATGGTTTACAGACTGGATTATCAGTAAAAAATTAAGCTTAATTGTTTCTATTAATTTAAGGGTGTAGAAAACAGAAACAAATTATTTTGTGATACTCCTAAAACTGCTATTTTTTCATTGTTTGGCAGTCTTAAGGATATCACAAAACAATTTTGATTGATTGCAACCGACATCCTCACAGGCACAGTGTTTATGCCACACCTTTATATACACAAGGTAAACATTTGTGACAGCTACAAAACATTTTTGATTGATTACAACCAACATCCTCAGTCAGTGTTTATGCCACACCTTTTTTATACACAAGGTAAACATTTGTGACAGCTGCATTTGTGAATCTGCACTCATGATCCAGTGGTCTTAATATTGTACACCATGTGTCTGAGGAAGTGCACTCTAATCTATAATCTATTAAGATTTTAGTTTTTCATTTATTTTATTTTATTTGGCTTAGTTATTCATGCTGAAACAGCTGAAATGCTGCTCTCTCTTTGAAGTTAATTAATACTGCAATTTTGTTCTGGAAGCCTGTTGGCTGGAGTGGCAATAAACAAACCCTTTCCATTAAGTTTTATACACATATAGCAAGGAGCAGACGTCTGTGGGTTTCTGAATGACATGGATAGTACTGCTTTGTTAAGTACCTAGGTATCCATGCCGTTAAGACTGAAGAAGAACCCTATGTAACCCAAACACTTGTAGTTTCCCCCCCGCCTTACCCTTGCACACGCCAATTTAAAACAGTATAGTAGTAACTGCGCGTGCGCCAGAAATAATACACCTCTCTTCCGAAGTCACTCATGCGGAGATTTTACGATGGCCCACCCCCTTATCGCTCTTCATCGCACGTCCGTCAGCCAATGCTCGCCGAAAACCCATTCTGGCTGTTTCTCATTGGTGGACAGCAATATCGGCGAGCTGCGCGTGCGCGCTCTGCCCTGCGCGCCTCATTCCATAGTTGCCGCGAGCTCGCCGGTGCATGCGCATTACGCCTGCTCTGGCGCACACACTGTATGCCTCTTTTTTTTTTTTAACGGTAAACATCCTGCTGATTTTTGAACGGCTAGTTTGGGCGGCAGGAAGGGGAGCGGCCGCCATCTTGTTTGTTTGAGTGGCTCCGAAAGGGGGTGGGGGGGGAAACGTCGGGAAAGGGGAGCGGCGGCGGCGGCGGCCCGAGCGCTTACTCCCAACCCCCCGGCCTTTGGCAGCTGCTCAGGATTGGAGGTAGGGCCGGAGCTGGCGGAGGTCTAGGGGCCTTTATGGGTGGGGAAACTAAGCGGAGGTGGGCGCCCGGGGGAGGCCTAGGCCTTCGTGTCTGGGCTGGGGAGTTTCGGCGGGTCGGGTCTCTCACCGGCAGGCTGGAGGGGAGGCCTTGGCTTTCCCTCACCCGTCAGGGTATCCCCGTCTCGGGATCTCTGCCCGAGGCCGAGGCCCCTCTGTGGGAGGTACTCCAGAGGCTCAGCCGTGGCCGGGCAAGCGGGGAAGGACTGCCCTCTTTCTGCACGTTCCTTTCTTTCCTACCTGAGTTCTGCATACTTCGTTTTTTCTGCTTCCTAGAAGGCAGGCGCGGGTGGCTGGAAGCCGACTTCGGTTTCGTGCACATTTCCTGCCCCCCCCCAGTTGTTCTCGCCCCCTCCGGCCTTGGCGAGTATCTCGAAAGCATTGCATTGAGATTCTCGTCAGCCTTGTCTAGTGTGGGGCAGTTTCCTTCCCTTGCAATTGGCAACCCATTAAAAACAAAAAGCAGAAGTCTGGAATTGCAAGCCCTATTGGAGGGCGAACTTATTTCTAAGTAAATTGCCATAGATCCTGTTGGAAGCCTTGTATTGCAGAAGGCTGTAGGGTTGAATTGACTTGGGCGTTTGTTGTTGCAAGATGAGATGTTCTTCATTGTAAAAAAAAGTTACATTATTAGGTCGGCTTCCATATAAAGGGTGATTTAAAATAGTCTAATCATGAATGTTTCCATATTTTGGTGACCCCATTTGAATCATCTCTTAGGCTGCATCATATGGCACATATACCAAAACATCTGCTGGGGCTTAGTATTTCAATATATATATGCCCTGTTAACCCTTTGTAAAAAAGAATGACTTGATAGCACCTGAAAATTTTGTAGCTTAATTTCCAGGAACGTTTGGTTTGTGTAGGGGAGATTAGGGAATCATGAATGTTTCCATAGTTTGGTGACCCCATTTGAATCATCTCTCTTAGGCTGCATCATATGGCACATATAGCTTCCATATAAAGGGTGATTTAAAATAGTCTAATCATGAATGTTTCCATATTTTGGTGACCCCATTTGAATCATCTCTTAGGCTGCATCATATGGCACATATATTGGATGTACACCCTCTTGTATTTCATTCAGAGTCAGTTAATGTGCAGAGGTCAGTCAGGGTTAAATGTTTTGTTCTTACCTCTGAAATGTGTTCATTGTAAGGTGTTTTGCACTAAGCCTTGGCATGTTACTCCAGACAAGAAATCCCTATATATAGCCAAACAAGGTGTTTGCTTTCCCTATGCTTGCTCCCATTGTTTTTTTGGTCAGCTATTAGAATGTGGGCACCTGGGGAAATGAGGTGTAGTTCTGTGTTTGGTACTGATAAGAAGCTTTAACTGAAGTAAGCCAGAGTTCATGTGGACCATGACTTCAGATTGTAGTTTAGAGCAAGTTAACAAACCATAGTTTGTGGAGGTGGATTTTTCTGGTCTGAGCCTACTAGTTACCTTACCTGGCCATTACATTCTCAGAAGTTAAAATGCAATGATGGAAAACCATCCAACTTTTGAAAATGTGTTTGTTCAATATTCTCTCTGCACCCTCCTCAATGTTACTGAAGGAGACTGAATCCTGGTATTGATTGATACTGTTGTGGTTTGTAACAGTGTTGGGAGATTTTCTCTACTACAGAGCTAAAGTGAAGAGATGTGGTAGTAAGCAAGTGAAGTAATTTGCTCTTTATTGGGCCCAGCTGATAATGTGAAGTTTTTGCTGTGTGACTTTTGCATTGTTTTTAAGGCCAGTCTTTAAAGACAGCAGGTGGGCTCTTCGTTCTCATGGATTTAGTTGTAGTATAATTAAGTTGAGGGCCAGCACATTGTTTTACTGCAGACATTTTAAATGAGAAAAAAACTAGATATATGCATATTGCAACTTGGAAGTAAATCTTCCCTATCCCCCGATGTTAGAAAAAGAGCACTGGATGCTGTAGATGTTCATCATTATTGCTGTCATACCATACATCTCACTGCTTTTTTACTACTGGAAATAAAGTGCAGTAGTACAATACCCAAAAGTTGTATAACTACTTATTCACTTTACAGTTGAGTGTTTTAGCTGGTTTTGTATTTTATTGTAGTGTCTCAAAGCTAATTTGCAGTCAAGTCTGTGATATGATGAAACAAGCTATAGGAATAGCTATTTTATGTAACTTGTTACTTGACATTTTAACATCTGTGACTGCTCCAGACTCTTGTCAGAGTGGATAAAAATCAAATTGATTTAGATCACAATTAAATTTTGAAAATAGATGTTATTCTATGTTATCAAACAAAATCGAATTTGTAAAATTATGTCATAATTTAAATCAAATCCAGCCTGGTGCTTCTTATGGATCATTGTTTCCAAGAGCAAGTTTAAGTGTTTTTCATGCAGTTTGTTGCTAGGTGTTGTGTCTGAAACTTAGAATTGTGCAAAATAACTTTTCGTAGCCTTGTTTTAATATGCTTATAATTCTTGCAGATTCTTGCATAGACAGGTGGCACAATGTTCTATGCTCACTTTGTCCTGAGCAAGCGAGGGCCGCTGGCCAAAATATGGCTGGCGGCCCATTGGGATAAGAAGCTAACCAAAGCCCATGTGTTTGAATGCAATTTGGAAAGCAGCGTGGAGAGCATCATCTCACCTAAGGTATTGCTTCCATAATTATACAGTATCTTATTTAAAGTTAATAGCGTTCAAGATTTTTCTTGTGATATCAGAGGTAATGATTTAAAGCAGGTGTTTGTTCAACAGCTGCATCACTGAACACAGAATAGGGACTACATTGTTGGGTCAAACCAAGGTATTTCCAGTTACAGCCATTCATATGCTTCTAAGCATTCAGAAAAAGATATGAATGAGATGGCATTATTTCCCTCCCCCCCACCGCCATTTAAGCTTAACGAGCGCACCGTTTAACGACGAATCCGCATAGCAACGCATTTTTTGCGATCACTAATGCGATTGCATTACGATGTTTAGATAGGCTAAACTTCGCATTGCGATGATTGCGATGTTTAGAAAACAGCTGATTGGCGGTTCCAAAATGGCCGCCGGGTGCAGAAAATGGCCGCCTGCAGCGTTTTCGCACCCTGCCCTCGCTTACCGGGCAGCGAAAATGGCGGCCGGATGGGGGAATCTTCGCTTACCAGTGAGTTTTTCCCCAATAGGAACGCATTAAACAGATAATCAATAATTATCTATACTTGTATTTCTGAACTTTATTGATGAAGTTTATTCCCAAATATTCAGCTCCATTATTTTACAGCAGTATTTTTGAAAACAGCTAGTTATGGTAACACTGCCCAAAAACATGATCTAGAACATTGGATAACCCAGGTGTTCTTGGACTGCAACTCTCAGAAACCCTAGCCAGAGCAGCTGGTGGTGAAAGCTGCTGGGAATTGCAGTACAAGAATACCTGATTTACCCAAGGTTGAGAACCACTGATATAAAACAAGGGTGGATGACCTTTGGGCTGCACACAGCAATCAGACAATTTCGATAACCTCCAACTGAAGAATGTTGCTCAGAAGTCCCTTTGTAGCTTCTAAAGGGAGTGGGAAACAGGTTTTACGAGTGGGTGCTGATAATATTGAGCCTGTCCCAGAAAAAATTGAGCTAGGAAGCTGTAACTGCCACACTGTTCTACATATTCCCCCAGGAAGTCAGTGCACTTGCAACATCTGTCCTGCAGCTTCTTAAGTCCCTGCAAATAAAATTCTTTCGACTGCTGGTGTAACCACTCATTTGCAGCATTAGTTGCCTCCAGAACACTCCCAAATCGTTGTCTCTTTAGGTGTTTTTTGAGGTTGGGGAACAGATAATAGTCAGAAGGAGCCGGGTCGGGACAATAGGGTGGATGGGGCATCACTTGAAAGCCCAAGAACGTCAGTTTTGCCATTGTTTCATCTGCAATGTGTGACAAAGTGTTGTCATGCAATAGGATGACACCTTTGGAGAGCTTTCCTTGACGTTTTTCCTTGATGTTTTGCCTCTACTTCGTCAATAAAGCACAGTAATATTTTGCATTGATGGTTGAACCCTGTTGGAGGTAGTCCACCAGCAGAACTTCCTTCTTGTCCCAAAAACTGTTGCCATTTGCTTCTGCACTGACCTTTGCACTCGGAACTTCTTTGGCCTGGGGGAACCACTGTGCCCCCATTCCTTAGACTGTTCCTTTGTCTCAGGATCATAACAGTAGATCCATGTCTCATCACCAGTTATGAGTTTGCCCAGGAAATGTGACTGGCAACATTCTTGCAAAATGTTCCAAAACAGCCACCGATGACTCCGTACATTTCGTCTTTTGTTCGGTTGTCAAAAGTTTGGGGATCCACTTTGCTGCCAGCTTTCTCATTTCCAAGTCATTGTGAATAATGGCGCCAACTCTTGTGATATTCTCAGATATGTAGCAATACCTTTGGCTGATATTCAGCAGTCCTCTATGATCATGTCATGGATGGCTTTCACATTTGCAGGCACAGAGACAGAAACAGGTCTTCCACTGGGTTTCTCACTTTCAACACCGAAATGGCCAGTTTTAAAATTGACAACCCAGTGTTTAACTATTGCATATGAAGGGCCAGTGTCACCCATAGTTTGTGACATTTCATCATAGATCTGCTTTGCACCTTTCCCTTGGAGAAACAGGAACTTGATTATGGTCCTATGCTCTTCCACATTGAACTTTTCTGAAGGTGTTGCCATGTTCACTTTGGACCTGAACATGAAATATAAGTTAAAATCATAGGTAGTTGATTTTTGCACCATTGAATACAGACAAATTGGCCAATGCACCCTGCAATGTATAGCTTCCTAGCTCATTTTTTTCTGGGAAAGGCTCAATACTTATCAGCATCCCCTTGTAGTCCTCCCATATTTTGAGGTCCCTGCAGTACCCCTGGGCTCCCCTGTGTACCTTAAATTCTTTTGCCACTCAAGGGCAAAACTTCAAAAGTTAAACTGATATTTCTGTTAAAAAAACCCAATGTGACAAACTGCAGTTCATAGCCACTGCATCAAAACACTTTTTAAACATAATAGAAAATGCCTGTTTTGAGAACTAACTGTACTGAGTCTCTACTGGAGACTTCTGTAATGTTTTAGACAAATTTTCTAAACTATAATTTCGTAAGTTGCTACAAGTAATAATAATCAATAATGACTATTACTTGTAGCAATTTGTGAAATTATAAAATAAGTCAGCATATTCATTAGTCTATCTGTTTGGATAAACTAATGTGAGTGAGTCCCCATATCCTTGTAATGTAATTGAGGGGTAGGTAGGATTCTATAGAAATGCTTTTACCTGTTTGTCTTAAAATAATTTTTCATTGCCACAGATATCTGGCTGTTTTCATTTACAAGCCCATAGTCAATATTGATATGTGTTGAGTATTAGACAAACTGCCACAGTTCACTGAACTTTTAAGAATTGATACACCATGTGAATAGAAGCGTACATAGACACTCATCATTCTGATAAATCAAACTTAAGAGCAACAGTTTACTTTTGATTTATTTTCCTTCTATATAACTCTTTCCTGGTCTGATATGAATGTTGTATTAAAACACATTTTTCAGGTGAAGATGGCCCTTCGAACTTCAGGACACCTTTTATTGGGAGTTGTTAGAATCTATCATAGGAAAGCTAAGTACCTCCTTGCAGACTGTAATGAAGCTTTCATTAAGATCAAAATGGCTTTCCGTCCAGGTACTTACTGTATACTTTCTTTTCACAAAATTACTGTGATTGCATAAATAGCAAATTTCTCTAGAATTTGCCTATGCAGCAACTGCTCATTAGTTCTATATTATATCCTCCCCATACTAAAAATCCTTTTCCTTATGCATTTATTTTTTCAGAGCTTTCTAAAGACTTAGGAGTAATATCTGTTGAATATTGTGGAAATATGTTATTTATAAATTTAGAAGTTAATCAGTAATTTCCTAAGGAATCAATATCTTTTTTTGAGCCACAGTAGACACTAGAATTCTAATAGAATATTTATGTGCTCTCCTTTTATTCACCTTCCTGCTGTCACTATAGTAGAACCAGTGTGGTCATGAGTTACAGGAGGTGTTGCATGATGTCTTATTGGGTTAATAAAGTTTGTGGGCACAAGAGAATGTAGCATGATGAAACATTGATGGACTACTGTGTTAATTACAAAAATTCGGGCCATAATAAGTGCAGTAGTCTTTATGGTTTTAAATCTGCTTTTGCTTACATCTTTATATATACATATATGTAATTCCTTTTTTAGGTGTGGTTGATTTGCCTGAAGAAAATAGAGAAGCTGCGTATAATGCTATCACCCTACCTGAAGAATTTCATGATTTTGACCAACCTTTGCCAGATTTAGAGTAAGCTTCTTTGTATTCAAATTGCTTGCTGAAATTGGTATCTTCAAGAAAGCATGTTTGTATTTATTCTTATTTCTCTAGTTGTTTGTTGGGAGATGAGATGGGAGTGAGCCCTGTGAAAGAAAGGTCCTGAAAAGTTGGAAAGCACTTGAATTCTATGAAGTGCAATTTTTCTTATTTTGAGGCATAACATATAACTGAAGCATTGCTCTGCTGAGCATATTTTGCAGTAGTTGATTACAATGGTCATATTGGGAAATATAGATAAAGCACGTATTTCATTTCACTTTGAATGTCATAGTTCAGTAGCTGTATCTTTTGTAAAATATATGCTGTTATGATGTGAAGAAATTCTGCTTGTTATACTCTATCTTTTTGCCAAGCTGTATACTTGAAGCATTTTGCTATATTTAAATAGATGCATTTGAAAAAAAAGGAACTATTTTCTGCAAACACATATTGACCAGAAACAGAGATGTTTTAATATTCATAAATTTAATAGACTGTCTTTCTCTAACCATACATAAATATATGTTGCTTGCCTTTTTTGAATGGTTTCAAATTCTTTTTCAAATTGTGTGTGTTTTCCCTCTCAAAGTGATATTGATGTGGCTCAGCAATTCAGTTTGAACCAAAGCAGAGTAGAAGAAATTACAATGCGAGAGGAAGTAGGCAACATCAGCATCCTTCAGGAAAATGATTTTGGTAAAACACAGCTATTTTTGTCTAATGTATTTGCAGTTATTGTGCTGTTATAGTTAATCATAATTGTGTGCTATCAAATCCATTCTGATTTATGGCAACTGTTTTCAGGGTTTTTCAGGTAGAGAGTATTCAGAAGTGGTTTACCTTTCTCTTATGGGGGCATCCTGAGACTGCAGCTTGCCCAAGGTGACATAAGCCGTCTCTTCTGAGATATACAGCAGGAAATTGAAACAATAGCTAAAACATAAAAATTACCACACAATTGACATGCCTGCATGGCTTGTTACATACATAATCACACATTGCTATTTTTCAAGAAACCATAAAACACAAGAACAAGTATGTCTCAAAAAAAAGTCTTTTTTTTACTGGCCCTTTGAAAATACCTGGACATAATTCTGAACAGACTTTTTTCTTTTGGTTCTAAAAATCAGATAATATAGCATGTGATAATTACCACAGTGCTTTTCTAATGTATTAAATAAACTGTTTCTGTGAGTGTTGTTTTATTAAGTGAAGTCTTTCCAGTTTAAGTTTTTTCTGATGCAGTTTCGTTACCTTAAATTGATATGTTCTGTGTAGACATGGGGACGAGTATAAAAATGAATCAGGATATTTATTAAATGTCCCTGATAAATCACATATTTGTTGCTTTGTATTCTTGGGGTCCAGAGACCCCAACAAATATGAAGCAACAAATATAATCCTTTTACATTTGTTCATTCATTCCCTATCTGCTTATGCCGCTGTGGAGGAGCTGTTCCTCGGAGGCATAAGTAGAGGGGAGGTTTCCTTTCAGGCATCTTGCTAAAGTTTTCCCAAAGGGAATCTCACCCCCGTGGCTGGGGGATGGCGTGGTTCCCCTTTCCTTTTCCTATGCCCGCGCAACATAGGAGGAGGGAAGGGATCCCCCAGCTGCTGCGGAATCTCTTTGGTCCCTTTTTCCCCTCTTCCTGTGATCCGCGGGGCTTAGCAAGAGGAGGGGAAAAGGGCTTGAAGCCGTGCAGGGCATAAAAAGAGAAGGGAAAGCAAACAAAAACACCCCACAACCCAATGAATGATGATTTATTGTTTGTCGAGTCACTGGGGGACAATTCATGGGTCGTGGGTCGTCCATCTATAGTCATGTGTTATGAAAATAAAGGACACTAGGCAAGGAACTTTTTGTTTGTCTGATAATCCATCATTTATCAAATGGGCTCAGTCTTTTGTCATTTCCAAAAGCCCCAAGTGCATGGCCATGTACAGATGTTCTCAATTTCTCTCTTTCTGAATACCATCTCAATGGAGCTAGTTGTTGATAGACTGTGGTTTGGGAAGCGTTCACACTGCAGTCCTGAAGATGTGCTAGATTGGTGGATTTGGAGTGGGTACAACTGCCCTTGTCCTGGGTCTGCCTATACAACTTGTACAAATTAAGCTCAATTTTTAGCGATGGTATAATGGCCCAAATGTTGGAAATACATTTCAGTACAGAATCTGAGTTGTTCATGTGCCCCAAAGAAAATACTTTGTGAACCAGATCATTTGAATATATGCCCAAGAAGCAAGTAAGAGTAACATTGCTTAAACTTTTTGAATCTGTTGCAATACAGAAAGAAACTTTCTGCAATTCAATTTCAGTTCACCTTCAAAAGTGCAGTGTTGTATCACTATAGGCCTGAATTTTGTTGTTTAAGTTTGCCTAAGTTGCTGCAGCTAACTGAGAAGACGGCAGGGCATATTTCCATCACGTATCTCATCCTCATTCACCTGATTGTGCAAATGAGGTGCATCCCAGCAGCTTGTCAGTTGAGCTGTGGCAGCTTGTGTAAACGTCACATGAATGCCAGAATGTAAAGTTAGAACCATAGAAATAATCTTACTTGTAATGGTGCTACAGGATTATTGCTGAATGTATTTATTTATTAATTATGACTGATCTTAAACAGGTGACTTTGGAATGGATGACCGCGAAATGATGAGAGAAGACAGTGCATTCCCAGATGACATGCTGGATAGTACTAGTGCTTCCAACCTTTTGCTGGAGCCTGAGCAGAGCACAAGTCATCTTAATGAGAAATCCAACCATTTGGAATATGATGAACAGTACAAAGATGACAATTTTGGAGAGGGAAATGATGGTGGAATCCTGGGTATGTATGCAATATGTATTTTGCCCCAAATAATTTAAGGCATCCACCCATATGTAGATATTGTTTTAAAGTGTTTATGGTATCTAAAGCTTACAACCTACTTGAATAATATTTCTGTATCATTTGAGCCTGAGAAAGTTAAAATGCTGGCTTGATATTGTTCATTGTGGCTTATGGGATAGGATCCTACTGAGTTAAACACTAAACTAAATACTATATAAACTGGTTTGCTTAGTGATGTTGGATATTGTGGCATCAGCAGCCCATAGAATGTGTATTCTGAGGTTGTTGAGGATCAGCTCTCTGAATATATCTTAAGTTGTATTTTTCCCGTTTTGAAGTTTGAGTATACCCTCCGTTCACATGCATACAGTCCTCCTTTAGCTGAAGTTTTAAAACACATCGGTTTAGTAAATGTGTTTGACTTTTAAATATAATGATCAAAGATTCGTGTTTTGTATGTCATCTCCGATGGAACACCTTTCTCGGTTCTCAAGTGGTATCTTAAATGTTGCATGGTACAAGTGTCCTAGGTTAACTCCTGGGCATCTTCAGTTAGGGGCATCAGGTAGGAGTTAGTGGAAGACAGATCGGCTTGAAACCCTAGAGGGCTGCTGCCTAGCAGAGTAGAAATATTTAGCTCAATGGACAACATGACCTAGAGGGCACTTGCTGCATTTTATGGAGTCTTCAAAGAACATGCTGTCTTGATCAAAGCATATAAGAAGTGCTTTTATCTGAATTGGTCTGGTAAAGTATTTTGCTTTTATTTTGTTTCATCTGTATTGATTAGAAGATGTGAATCTTTCATTCCCTACTTTCTTTGGGGATGCTTTAACGTGATACAGCCATTAGCCCTTTGCCTTCCAAGTATTATTTCATCATGGTTGCAAAGCACATGGATTACTTGGTTTCTGATGCTTGATGATACACAATTATTATGTAAAAACAACAACAACCTTCTGATTGCTAGGAACATGCTATGCTTAGATGCTTTGTATATCACTTCAATCCTAACTTTCCTGAGTTACCATTCCAGATGACAAACTTCTCAGCAACAATGAAGGAGGCATATTTGATGACCCACCTCCCATTTCAGAAGGGGGTGTAATGATGCCTGAACAACCTCCCCATGATGATATAGATGATGATGATAACGTTTCAAGTGAGTGTTCAATCATTTCTCCTGAAATCTAAAAGACAGGTGTGTTGAATGATCATCAGCACTGTGTAGCTTTTTTCTTGAACTTGTCAAAGTGTATTAGAAATCAAGAAGCCAAAGGTAGCTGGTTTGGGTATTGATGAGTTCACCCTTCTGACAAATGGAAAAGAATCCCTTAAACAAGGTCAGTTGGCAGAGATTACGTTCGGAGGCTGCTGCCTCTTGAAGGATAAGAAAATTAGAAGGATGGAAAACTGAATTAAAATTGGGTGGAGCCCTGCAAGAAAAATGTTCCCTGCCACAAAATTTTGTTGGCGGATTTTGCTTATATTTAATGTTTTTACCATAACAGTATACTAGCAAACTAATTTTTAACTCTTTGATTTACAGTGGGTGGACCTGAGAGCCCAGACTCAGTAGATCCAGTTGAACCACTGCAAACGACTGATCAGACAACACTGGTTCCAAATGAAGAGGAAGCTTTTGCTTTAGAGCCTATTGACATAACTGGTAAATAAGCAATTCTGGTATACCTCTCCCCACCCCCACCCCCTATATTGAGTATGAAAAAGAGCAGTTAAGTAAACTTTAATTATTTAAAATGTTTCTATGCTGCCTTTCTCCCCAAAAGGATCCAAGGCGGCTTACATTACAAAAACAATATTTAAAAGCTAAAACTAAGTATACAAATATTTTAAAAGAATTAAACAAGAACTATATTAAAATGGTAACTAAGAGCAACATTAAAACACATTTAAAACAACAGAGCAAAACAGTCCATTTAAAATCCTTCTCAGACCACCAGTCATTAATGAAAAGCCTGCATGGAGAGAAAAGTGTTTGCCTTCCTATGGAAGGACAGCAAAGATGGGGCCAGTCTGGCTTCCCGTGGGAGGGAGTTCCAGAGTCTGGGAGTAGCAACAGAGAAGGCCCTCTCCCATGTCCCCACCAGGCGCACCTGTGAGAGTGGTGGTATGGAGAGAAAGGCCTCCCCTGATTATCTTAATGCCTGGGCAGGCTCATAGATGGAGATGCAGTCTTTTAAATAGCTTGGACCCAAGCCATTTAAGGCTTTATAGGTTAGAACCAGCATTTTGAATTGTGCCTGGAAATGAATTTGCAGTCAGTGGAGCTGTTGTAATAGGGATGTTATATGTTCCCTGTAACCAGCCCTAGTTAACAATCTAGCTGCGGAATTTGGAGTTTCTAAACACTTTCAGAGGCAGCCCCACGTAGAATGCGTTACAGTAATCTAACTGAAATGTGTCACGGTGGCCAGATCAGACCTCGAGAAACAGGCTCAGCTGGTGCACTAGTTTTAACTGCAAAAGGCACTTCTAGCAGCTGCTGAAACCTGGGCATCCAGCTCAGATGAATCCAGGAGCTGTTAATTGACAAAGCGTATACAGTAAAGTTGGTAATATCATAAGACCTATAGCATAATCCTAATACATAAGCTATTTTTGGAGTATATAAACAATTATACTTGCATAGTATGTTATGTGATATTGCATGGTTAATGGCAGTATTGTTCAAATTTGGATTTACTTTTTTTGTATTTTTAATCTGTTGTTATAGAGACACTTGTTAATCAGGTCTTTGTTTGGTCCTTGCATGGTGTGCAATGTTTTGGGGCAGTAGTGATGCATTCATCATTTTATTATCTGGACCTCTTACATGTGCTGTCACACAGACTGATCAGCTGTTGCTTTGTGCATTATGTGCTGCTTGTAGTCCTAGAATCATAGAATAATGAAGTTGGAAGGGTACTATAAGGCCATCATGTCCAACCCCCTGCTTCAATGTAAGAATACAGATCAAAGAATATCTGCTAGGTAGTTGTCTAAATGTCCTTGCAGGTATGTATCGTAGGTACAAATGTTAAGTACAGAAATTTGAGCAAATTAACCTTCTTCCCCAAAAAATATTTAAAAAATGGTAGAGGGTAACAGACCTTATGTTTTGTATGCTTGTGTTAAATGATTAATTGATGGAAGGAAGGGGTGCTCAAAAGATATTGTAGGTGTTATTACCACATGCTGTTTTAAAGTAGGTAGGGGGTAGTCAGAACTGGTATGGCAGAGAACACTGCTCCACATGAGTCATTTGGTCCCATACTTGGAAGCCTAGCATCCATTTTTGTCTTTGTCCTCACCGACACACATGGCCTTAAGTGTAAGCCTTGCAATGTTTAACTTGTTGCTAGTATTTCCATGATTCTTGTATAACCAGTACAATTTTAATAAGCCTCTGCTCATGACCTGTGTTCGATCATGGGTTCAAGTAGCTGGCTCAAGGTTGACTTGGCTGTTCATTTTTCTGAGGCATATAAATTGAGTATCTAGCTGGCTTGGGGAGGGGGCAATGTGTAGCCTGCATAATTAAATTATAATCCACCCAGAGAGAACTTTAAGCACTATGGAGCAGTATATAAGCTCTGTTAAAGGTCGTTGGATTTACTGACTTTTTAAAGAAGTAATGTTTTTAAAAGAATAACATTCTTAAAAAATAACTGAAGATGTCGCTGTCAAAGTGTTCTCCCACCTTTGTAGCAAGACTTATATAAGGTGCAAGGCAGCCTTAGAGCTGTTGTAACATAAATTTCAAAGTGTCTAATTGAATGCCTGGCCTTGTGTAGAAACACTGCATCGAATCATTTCAACTTGTTGCCTAACCTTGGTATTTATTTCTCTGCTTGAAAATATTTTTGTATCACCTGTCATTGACTGTATAACCAGGTGTCCTTTATCAGTCAGCGCTGAGGTAAGGTAAAGGAAGGTACTTAGCCGAATAGCAGATAATGAGCAGTCAGGTCAATATAGTTCTTTCAGCAGTCCTGTTATATAGGAGTGGCTATATGCATTCCACACTGTTCTAAAGACCACTAAAGTCTGGGCAACTTGCAGCTTCCTTGCTATACACAAAAGGATTGCATGAGTTGTGATACAAGATTATCTATTGATGGGATGGGTTACTGTGATCAAACTTTTTCTCTCTGGTGAATGGCTGTAGCTGACACACAAGCCAGAATTGGTTCTTATGTGCAGTAACAGAGATGGTTCAGTGGACACTGCCAGAAAATGAATTAGAGTGTAGCTGGTCCAATTCATAAAAATTCCTAACCATGGGATCTTTGTTAACAGAACTTGGTCTCAAAACATTAGCCCTCACCCAGTCCATTACTACATTGATATATTGATTAAGGCTTGTTTAGGAGCCTCTAGTATATGTTCTACTTGGGTCCACTATGGGAGAAAGGTAGCATATAAATATGTACATACATACATACTTTACATTTGTGCTCGCCGTTGCAATGTATTGAAACATAGCCCTCACTGAATATGGTATGAACCATGAGTAATAATTGTACACAGCAAATGTTGAAAGTTTGGGTTTTACTTGAGCACCAGAAAATATTTTTAAAAATGAAGATGTGAGTTGATTCTAAATCTGACTATATTTATCATATCTAGTGGCTTTAACGTGTTTCTTCTCTAACTAGTTAAGGAAACCAAGGCAAAGAGGAAGAGAAAGCTCATTGTAGACAGTGTGAAGGAACTGGACAGCAAGACTATCAGAGCCCAACTAAGTGACTACTCTGATATTGTCACTACACTGGATTTGGCACCTCCTACCAAGAAGTTAATGATGTGGAAGGAGACTGGGGGTGTTGAAAAACTTTTCTCTCTTCCTGCTCAACCTTTGTGGAATAACAGACTTTTAAAGGTGAACCAAACTTGGAAATTCTACTTTACTTTAATTATTTAATTTATTTATTGCATAAATAGCAGGTACCCTAAATGGTATCTTATATATCTTACCTGTATATACAATAGCATAATTATTTGCTGCAAGTGACATGTTTGTTGTAAATTAAGGGTTTATATTGTTGATGAGGATGGTATTAAGTGTGTAGTAGCCAGTTCAGTTATTTAAGATCACTTTAGATGCTGCATTTCTTGCTTAATTACAGATTTCTCAAGATAGCTAAGATGATTATTTGAAGGGGTGCTTTTAGACTGTATGTGTAATTTGGTTTGCTCTACTTGTAGCTTTTCACTCGGTGTCTTACACCCCTTGTACCAGAAGACCTAAGAAAGAGGAGGAAAGGTGGGGAAGCAGATAACCTGGATGAGTTCCTTCAAGACATTGAGAATCCAGAAGTGCCCAGAGAGGAACAGCAGCGCAATGTTATTGGTTTGTGATTATTTAATGGGTTCACAAACTTGAATTTATGCTTCTTTTGTTTGGTAGAGACTTCAGGATCTACATGGGTTAATGTTCAAACTTTGCTCCTTTGTGCGTTTTGGTATCTTTAGTACCAAAATTTTAGTAATTAAGAGATATGTGCATATTTCAATTATTTGAAAGCCAGTAGGAAGAGAGTGAAACTCAGGACTTTTAAGTAAAGTAGTAACTAATTGAAATTTCTGTGGAATAGATGAGCCCATCTTGGAGGAGCCGAGTCGCCTTCAGGAATCTGTAATGGAAGGAAGTAGGACCAACTTGGATGAATCTGTTATGCCACCGCCTCCACCCCAGACAGGTGTAAAGCGAAAGGCTGCACAAGTTGAACCAGAACCTGTGCTACCCGTAAGTGAGAGAATGTGTTTCTTAATATGCATTAGACATATACATGGTGGAGCTACACCTGGCACATCAGGCCTTTATGCTGGCTTGTCTTAGCTTGTTTTTTTGTAAATTTTGCTTGATCGTTGCTTTTCATTGTTTTTATATGTACACTGTCCAGAATAGTGCTCTGAACTAAAGTAAATATGTCAGAATTATAATGTAATCATATACCATATTTGTCATTTTTATCTTGGGGCTGTAATAAAACATAAGCTAGGAAGTGGCATACATGACATGCAATTGGTGATCAAAAGCAGCCAGTATAGAATTAAATCTGGGAACTTCAGTGTGTTGGTTCTGCATATACTTGAACACTGACACAAACAGAAACCCCTTTTAGCTCTGTCACAAATAATGGATTAACTCCTGTTCGGTAAAATGTTAATATGGCTCCATTTTCCATCAGAAAACATGACCTGTAACTGAGGAAAGATGTCTAATAGTAGGTTCAGATACTCATTATCTTCATTGGGTGATGTCCATTTAGCCACATCTTGTAGTAGCATCCTGTAAGTAACATCTTGGATTAGATTTTGGCAGATGGCAGTTCTTTGCAATACAGGAAGACTGTACAAGACACTCGAAAAACAGATTTTAATTAAGATATTATTAAGTCTAGCATCTTTAATTCCTATTTGCCTTGAGTCTTTTTGATAAAACCTGAATATCTGTGTCTTCAGTCTCAACCACTGCAACAAATTGAAATGCCACCAGTGGAATTGCCTCCAGAAGAACCTCAGAATATCTGCCAGCTAATTCCAGAGCTGGAACTTCTGCCTGAGAAGGAGAAGGAGAAGGAAAAGGAGGAAGAGGAAGAAGAAGAGGTAGGCACTAAGACATACTGATGATGAAACACAGGAGCACTGGGTAAACTCCTGGGGGTCTTTTGGTGCTTGTTATTCAGTAAGCCCCTAGAGTGAATTCTGTGCTTGGATCTGTCATGTTGCTTTCTGCCATGGCTACTAGAAAATCAGGTTCTCATTGGAGCTGGAGCTGAGTATTCATATGTCCAAATGAGGATGTATGAAAAGCCTTGCTGGAGTGGACCAAAGATTTCCCATATGTAGTATTCTGCTTCCCAGGTGATTAGGCCACCCAAATGACAAGTGAAGTGAACAGCAGCACAGTATATTTGTATAGCCACATTATTTATTTTATTTATTTATTGCATTTATATGCCGCCCATCTAGACATAGTCTACTCTGGGTGGCTCACAACATACAAGATAAAAACAATTTAAAATATACACAGTTTTACATAGATAAAAACAGAACGATATAAAATATAAAATCATAGAATTACAATTTTAACAATTAATTTGTTAATTAACAATTAATTACACTGCTGATTGATGGTGTTATTACAGTTCTTTTCTTAATAATCGCTAACATAAATCGCAGCTTTTTCCCAACTTCTGAAAATGTCTCAGGTGTATTTAGAGAGTCATTAAACTAAATAGGGAAAAATAAACTATTACAAGACAACTGTGGGGAGGAAAAATTAAGAATGTACTCTGGTTTCTCTTTTATCCTTTTGTTTCTCCTGAATCTCTTGCCAGTAATTGGGTATTGCTAATTGTACTATTAAGTGAATTCATAAAAGTAATCATAATTTTGTGTGAATTCCTCATGAGTGTTGTCAGTTCTTTTTCCTTTTGAGTACTTACGTTGAATCAGTCTGACTTTGTTCTGTGTTTAATGGTGTACTAAGCCGTTTCTGTTTGGTTGCAGGAAGAAGATGGTACAGGAGGCGATCAGGATCAAGAGGAAAGACGATGGAACAAGAGAACTCAACAGATGCTTCATGGTCTTCAGGTATGAAATGGATTTTAGTAATGTATTAAAAATACTTCAGAAAATACCTTGCATACAGAAATAAAGTCCATAGTAGAATCTTCCTATATGGACTAGCTAGCCCGATGCTTTTCAGAAGTGCTCAAATGGGACATAGAAATATTGCCTTCACTGTGCAGTGGCTTTTGGGAAGAATTTAGTCCTGTAATTTAGTCAGGAGTCAGCTAATTTTTGTGGTTTCAGCTTTTATCATCTAGCAATTCAAACTAGCAGCTGGCCATCCATTCCCTGATTTACGGCTCAGAGAGGCACTCAAATAAACAGACTTTCTTTCTCAGTTCTTCATGTACAACTGACCTGCCATGGTTAAATATACTAATCTAAGAGGTGTGTAGGGAGGTAGTACTAATTACACACACACCTTTACTCACTCACTATTTGTTCTCCTTTTGCAAGGTGTTCTATCATCAATTCAATGTTCAGCTTATATTTTCTTATAATCCCTTGTGTTTTGACTTTGGTGCCAATTTGAAATCCACAAATGTTTAGAATGAGCTTTGACATGCTGATAACTAACAATTTTCTCTGTTTCCAGAGAGCTCTTGCCAAGACTGGAGCAGAATCCATCAGCTTACTTGAGTTGTGTAGAAATACAAACCGCAAGCAAGCAGCAGCAAAATTCTATAGTTTCTTGGTACTTAAAAAGCAGCAAGCTATAGAGCTGACGCAGGAAGAACCGTACAGTGACATCATTGCAACTCCTGGTCCTCGATTCCATATTATTTGAATGTTCAGCTTACTTGTATAAGTAGCATCGTTAGTGCTTACACACTGGCCCATGTGTAGAGCCAACGAAAGAATAAACCTAGGTTTTCATTGTCTGTACAGTCATTGAATTTTGTGTTTTATTTTTTTTTCTATTATATTTTATCACTTTTGCATTTCTAGTATCTTCTGCACTGGGTGACTGCAGTTCCAGTTGCAGTGATGAGAGAAGTGATTCAAGGATCTTATAAAGAGTGGTTTTTAAAAGAAACAATTCAAGAGACAGATGTGTGCAATATTGGTGCATGTAACTATGACTAATAAATTGTTTTATAGTTATCAGTTTAGTAAACTAGAATGCTATTTTAATCAACCCCAGAAGACCCAAAATGGCCAACCCCTTGTTTTATTTTGCCAAATTTGTCTAAAATGTACTCTGTTCCTCAAGGTAGTGAATTTTTTTGGACCCCAAATACTGTCGGTGTTCATCACTCTCCTGCTTCTGATGGTGCTCTTGGAGCTGCCCATATGAATGTTAGTGCCTGGCAGGAGTCCTTGCTGTGCCATGGTATCTCTAGAATAGGGTTTAAGCAGTTCTGAGATAAAATGTAAATGGATGACTTTTGAAAAAAATTTGTTTTTATCGAACATATTTAAAAGTACAAGAGAGAAAACATTCTGGTAGTAGATATTACATTCCTTCATCATGCAGTGCACATCTGATAACAGATGGATGGCAGGGTAGTTCTGCTGTTAGGCACCAATTATAGCTTAAGCATTTCTTCCTTGCTGGATGGAAACCTCTGAAGCATTTTTTTGTTTTTTTATGACTGTAGAAATGCCATATTTTCAGATTATAAGCAATTTGATTTAAGCAAGTAAGTAGCTAGATTAGCCTCAGAGTTTGAGCAAGTTACATTTCTAAAAGTGAATACAAAAAGAAATCTAGGAAACCACTGGCCCTGAAAGGACAGCAAATCACAGATGTTTATTTTAGAGGCAGGTAAATTTGCATTTCTCAACTAATCTTATGTAATAATGATATCCAGCAACCTTTACAACTTTTGTATCAGTGTATTTTCCAATAATGCACACTTAATGGGACACTGAATAGTTTGCAAATGGCCTCCAATTTGCTTTTACTATTTTTTAAAAAATGAAGGCTTTATCATTAATGACCAGGCCATACCACAAATCATGGGAAAGTGTTGATGAAGAATATAGCAACATTTCATAAGGTAAAATGATTAAAGATTCTAATTTTAAATGTTGGCACTTTTGTGAAATGATTCTCTTCTGGGACTGAGATTTCAGTGTATACCCAAGTGTAAAATTATGTGAATGTTTTAAAGTTTCAACGTTTTAAAAATCCCTGAAAGTTAATTGTATAAAATAGTTACTGCAGCTTTATTTTTGACATGATCTGCCTGTATAACCATGATTCCCTTTGTACAAAGAGACATTGTAGATAAGTTGAATGTTTAATAGAGAAGATCATTAGTTTCTTGTTCAAGTTTGTTAGTCTGGTTTTGTTGCTTCTCAAGGTTAATATTCTTGAAAATAGTTACTGTTATGTATAACTTTTCTAATAAAAGTCGTGTTACAAGCCATTATATATTTATGTTATTACCTTTTTGTCTTTTCTGTTGGGCAGGTGGCCAACTATTCTGGGAAAAGGATAATGGAGGCAAGTGTGTGTGTAAACATCACCATAGTGTCCTGTCTCTGGGTGGGAAGTAGCTTCTCTGGAACTCTTATTAATAGTGGCTAGTACTGGCAAAGATTCAGGAGGGAAGAGAGCCTTACAATTGCCACATCCCTGCAGTGTCACCTTCCTGCCTCCCCATTCTGCAAAGGGTAAGAACATAAGTCACAGCAAGAAGAGCCACCAGGCATTGCCAAAAAAGGCAGCCACTTCATCTGTGAAAGAAGTGTCCCAGAGAAGACCAGTGACAGCACCAAGTGGATCCCAGTCCCATCTTCAGTAAAACAGTCAGTGTAGGGTGGGGGAGTAGGCAAAGGGTGAGGTAGCTGACCATCCCAATGGTGGGCCCAAGAGGTCCCATCCCTCCAACCTGTCTTTATCCAGCTCTCAGGAAGATGGTGAGATTACTCAGCAGAATTTGAAACAGTCACAGGTTGCAGATTTTTGTCAGGGGAGGGCCAGTCTTCAAGGAGTAATTTCAGAGAGCATCCCCAGCAAGGAGAAACAAGTCTCTCACTGTGTTACGTTTCCAGGGGTTTAACAGGCAAAAGTCCAATAAACCAGTCCAGTATCAGAAGTCCACTAGATGCAAAGCGGATACCAAAATGCCAGAGCCCAAACACAAACCATAGTCAGAAGTCAGAGTCCAAAGCCAAGGGTCCAGAAAACAAGGTCCAAGATGAGCAGGAGCGAAAGTGCAAACCAGGGTTTTGAGTCCTTGCTTCCACAAGCTTGCAAACCTCTGGATGCAGATTTTATAGAAACAGTCATCTAAACACCTCATCCTGCTAAAACTCAGAGCTGGTCAACCTGATGTTCCTATGGGAAGCATTCGTGCGGACTTCAGATCTTTGTGTCATAGTCCTTGGCGAAGCTTCTCACTCACTGGCTACTGGGGGAGAAGAATCTGGTGGTGATTCAGCTGCCTGCGATTCTGATTGCCCATCATTCTCCTCAGCTGTAATTAACCCCTCAGATTCCAGATCTTCAGCTGAATTCATGACACACTGTCTTTAAAGGGGGTGTAGTAGGAGTAAACATCACAGAGGTAAGCCAAACCATTGCATTAGATTCACTTTGGCACTCAGCTAATGTGAGTTCTGGTCAGATGCTTGTGTATAAAAGCAAGGCCAAATCTATGTGCTTGTACTTTAAACCCATCTGGTCAAATTTTTTTATTTTGCAGAAGAGACTTTAGTCTAAAACAGGGTCTTTAAAGGGCGTGTAGTAGGAGTAAACATGACAGAGGTAAGCCAAACCATTGCATTAGATTCACTTTGGCACTCAGCTAATGTGAGTTCTGGTCAGATGCTTGTGTATAAAAGCAAGGCCAAATCTATGTGCTTGTACTTTAAACCCATCTGGTCAAATTTTTTTATTTTGCAGAAGAGACTTTAGTCTAAAACAGGCTGGCTGGGGCTACATACAAATGGCAAACTGTTCCCTCTAGAGATGGTGGTAGAGCTCCCTGGTTTTGGGATGTGGGTGTGTCAGAGTGCCATACTCAGTCTGTGGGTCAGATTGTGTAATTTATTTATTTATTTATTTATTCAATTTTTACTCCGCCCCTCTAGACAAGTGTGGGTGTGTCAGTGCCACACTCAGTCCGTGGGTCACATTTTGTAACCTTGTAGGCAGCCCATTTCAACATCTTGTATCAGCAAAGTCCAAACTGTATTCATTGTATGACAATTCTTTGTCCTAAATTGCTTGTCAGTATTGCTGGGCAGGTCCAATGCTGTGGTGCTATGAATGAAGGGGAAAAACCTCTTTCTGTTTTGTGCATGCCGTACACAATGGTTGGTACAATACAAGCAAAGATGCAGGAGGAAAGAGAAAAGAGCCTGAGCACTATGGTTTAAGCCAGTGACGGCAAACCTTTTGGGGCCCGAGTGCCCAAATTGGAAAAAAAACAGCGGGCGGCAGCGGAAGGGAGAATCCCGGGCACGGAGGTGCCTCGAGACCCCACTCCAGTTCTGCCACCAGCACCAGCTGCTCCGGCAGCGGGCCGCAGCGGAAGGGAGAATCCCGGACACGGAGGTTCCTCAAGACCCCACTCCAGTTCTGCCACCAGCACCAGCTGCTCCGGATCCTGGCCTGTCCCCTGTCGAGGCGCCGGCACTGTGGCTGCAGCGTCCTCCTCCGGTTTGACTGCCGGGGTGTTGGGTGGGGGAGTAGCGATCCGATGACTTATGGCTCGCGTGCTCACAGAGAGGGTTCTGCATGCCAGCTGTCTGGTCTAAGCCTTTGCCAACAGATTAGGAAATGTGTGACCATCCAGATGTTAGGCAGCAATTTCCATAATCTCTCCACACTTAAGCTGGTTACAGCTGATGGGAGATGGGAGTCCAACATCACCTTGTCAGCTACACTTTCCCCCAGCCTGGCTTTATAATGTCTTATCTAGCTGCATTGGCCTGTTTTAAAACTAAAAATCCAAAACAGCTCTTTCCGGCTTGAGGGGGGGGGATCTTCAATCATTAAAGAAACTTCAATTAATCCTCGAGAAAAATCCAATTTATTAAAGCCACTTTAGCTACTAAATGCTTCCTATTAACACCACACAATATTGAAGCTGCTGCTTGCTCTTATTAGATTAGGCATCTTTCAGTCTCGAGAGACTATGGTATCGTGCTCTGTATGGAGGACTTGAAACAGCGTCTAGTGTGGCTGAGAAAGCCGATTCGAGAGTGACCATCCCTTACACACTGAAGACAAATACAATTTGTACCCCGTCTAGCTCCCTGATTTTGCTGCTTTTGGCCTGCTGGCCAAGGGTCCCTTTAAATTGGGAGAGGCCGTGATGAACCGCTTGCCTCCAGCCTGAATGCTCAAATGTCAGGGTTTCCCATCTGTGGAGGTCCATTCCTAAGGCCTTCAGATCCCGCTTGCAGATATCCTTGTATCGTAGCTGTGGTCTCCCTCTGGGGCAATTTCCCTTCACTAATTCTCCATACAGGAGATCTTTTGGAATCCGACTATCAGCCATTCTTACAACATGCCCAAGCCAATGTAGACGTCGCTGTTTCAGTAATGTATACATGCTAAAAATTCCAGGTCGTTCTAGGACTACTCCTATTTGGAACTGTGTCCTGCCAGTTGATAACTAAAAATGCGTTGGAGACAACACATATGGACCGTGTTCAATTTCCTCTCCTGCCAGGCACAAAGGGTCCAGGACTCACTGCAGTACAGGAGTGTGCTCAGAACACAGGCTCTATAGACCTGGATCTTGGTACAGGTATATGCTGTCAGCTTCTTATAAAGTCATTCTCTCTTTGTGAGTCTAGAGAACATGGTAGCTGCTTTGCCAATGCGTTTATTCACCTCAACATCTAGGGAGAGAGATTTTTGAACCAAGGTACACAAAGTCATGAACAACCTCCAATTCTTGTGTGGAGAATTAGTGACTAAGAGCATATATAAAAAGATCCTACTGGATGAGATCAAACTTCTTTCCTGCTTTTTCTCATAGTGGCCAGCTAGATACAGTAGCTGGGAAAAGCTCATAAGGAGACCAGTTTAGTTTTCAAATGCTTGCTGAAACACAAGCAGGGATTGTATTTAAAAGTGAGACTGTTCTGAATCTTGTGCTAGGGGGGAAAGAAAACCTACAGTAAAATTAAAAGTTGCTTATGGTGGCAGGCCATGTTGTCTCGATGGCTTACTCAACTTGAAATCATGCAACCTCTAAGTGTGAACTGTACAGAATCCATCTGATGTAATACCTGCCAGCAAAAAGGCAGTGTGCTCAATCTCAGGTGGAGTAGATCATGGTAGAGGTAGGGACGCCTCTGTGTGATCACAAAGTCTGAGTGGGCTGCTCTTTGTTCTAGAAGAAAATGTTGACACTGGAGACGTGGTTTCAAGTGACTTTAGAGGGACTCAAGGCCAATCTACAGCATAAAGCTGTACTATTGCAGCGAGAATAAATAATTTAAATCAGCCCTTCTCCTGGCACATTTAAAAAGGACCACAGATTGGAAATAATTCTCCACACACCACTTTACAAGGTTTGTTACGCAATTTACACAATCCTGATTTGGCCTGTATCTCTTTCATATTGTTTTTATGGCTGTGGACAAAGAAAGGTTGAGAATGGCTGATCTAAATAGAAGCTCAGATACAGGATTTGACATATTAATGGTAGCAGCTTTAACAGCATTTTTTTCTGGTTTGAAATAGTGGTTCCCTCCCACCTAATACTTTATCCACTTGTGTTGTAAAGTTTCGAGCCTACAGATGTGTTATTTGCAAAACAGTCTATTTGTGCTCTGTTGTGCAAATCATACTTTGGTGTCAAGCTGCAACAAAGCAAAGCGCAGGAAAAAAAACATGCTTGAAAAAGATGTTATTTCTCCTCTTGTTCCTCAAAGGAAGGCAAATCTGTGGCACCTGCTTCAGTTAATGGATGCAACAGCAGTGGCAACTATGTAGAGGGAGACCTCCAAGTGACAGGACAAGGGGAAAGTTTGAAATGAAACAAGATCATGCCAAGGTGATGCAGGAGGCGTTGCTCCTTTATTCCACACGCACATCCAAAGACACACCTAAGGAAATATTGAAAGTAACAATAATAAGCAGATCCCATTCTTTTATGCCTCTGGAATCCGGTAAACCATCATGCTGACCCCTCTTTTTAAACTGTTGGACCCAATTTGCCTAAACCTTTGGCAATGACCCAATTTAGGCTCCTATTTCTCCAAAACAGATGTTTGAGTCAGCACGAGGGACATCAAAAGAATACAAAAATGAGTATACTTTCAAGGTATTCTGCTGCTGATCCAAAGGAATGGCACATGGATTCAACCACAGATTTTTTTTTTTTTTAAAAAGATGTGGTAGAGACAGCATCTCTAGTTGGAAGTTATAGTTTTATCAGGGTGAAATTATAGGGCAGGCTAACATTCCTCCTCCACAACTGAAATGAAGCACTTTGGGATGAGAACTTAGTTATCAATGTGCCCCTTACATGTTAAGTGGAGCTGACTCAGAGCAACCCCAAGAGGTCTTTCAAGCAGAGATATTTAAGGGGGGATTTTACCAGTGCCATCTCTCCCTGTGAGTTTTCATGGCTGAGCAAGGATTTGAACTCCCATCTCTTGAGTCCTGGTCCAGCATTATAATTTTTAAATGACTAGATAGGTCATTACACAAACACTGACCAGAATCCTGTTCCCAGCCTTGCGTAACCCAGGTGTTCTCTGAATGCAACTCCCAGAAAGCCCTAGCAGCATGGAGCTGCAGCCCAAGAACACCTGAGTTATTCAAGGTTGGGACCCATAGATCTAAACTAATTTGTAAGACTGCCTGTTTCTTCCTCTTTTAGGCAAGCTTGCCCAATGCTAGAGTGATGTTGAAATTGACCATGTGATAAGTTCTGTGCCCAAACAGACGTGGGAAGAGACAGCAAAGGTAAAAAATCATGGTGCTATTGCCTTTTTTTTTTTTTTGTCAACTGGATTTTGGCAGCTGAAAATCCAGTTCTGTATATTGTCCCCCCCCAATTGTCTCTACAGAATGCTTCCTTCTGTGGCCATATATTTTCCAAGATTGCAACTGGCTGCTATTGTGTCATGGAAAGCTGCCTAGAGTGGTCGCATAGACCAGATGGGCGGGATACAAATCAAATAAATAAATAAAACAAAGTAAAATGTGGACTGCAGCTGGTAAAAGGGTTATTTTCATAGAATAATTGAGTTAAAAAGGGTCTACAGTGGTGCCTCACTTAACGAGTGCACCGTTTAACGACGAATCCGCATAGCAACAATTTTTTTGCGATTGCTAATGCGATTGCATTGCGATGTTTTAATAGACAAAACATCGCATTGCGATGATCGGTAAGCGTTTCGCGTACCGATCTTCGCATTACGATGTTTTGGGAACAGCTGATCGACGGTTCCAAAATGGCCACCAGGTCAACAAAATGGCCACCCGCAGCGTTTTCGCACCCTGCTCTCGCTTACCGGGTGGCAAAAATGGCGGCCGGATGGAGGATTCCCCACATAGCGGTGAGTTTTTCCCCAATAAGAACGCATTAAACGGAGTTTAATGGAGTTCCCCCACCGCATAGCGACGAATCCAGATAGCGACATTAATCCTGGAACGGATTAACGTCGCTATGCAGGGCACCACTTAAGGCCATTGAGTACAAACCCCTATTTGATGAAGGGATCCATCAAAAGAGATCTGACAGATGATTCTCCAATTTTCCCTTCAATGCCTCCAGCCTTGGAGCGCTCACCACCTCCCTAGGTAATTGGTTCCATAGTTGTACTGATCTAACAGTTAAGAGGTTTTTCCTGCTATTCAACCTAAAAGAGAAGACTCCCCGGAAAAGCCCCTGATGTTGGGAAAGTGTGAAGGCAAGAGGAGAAGGGGACGACAGAGGACGAGATGGTTGGACATCGTCACTGAAGCGACCAACATGAATTTGACCAAGCTCCGGGAGGCAGTGGAACACAGGAGGGCCTGGCGTGCTCTGGTCCTTGAGGTCACGAAGAGTCAAGACACGGCTTAATGACTAAACAACAACAAAAACGTGGGCCCATTATTATGTGTCCTGCACTCTGGGATGATTGAGGACAGATCCTTTACCCACAGTGCAGCCTTATAGACAATAAATGCTGTGTTCCAAAAGGACAACAAGAACGCAGTCAGGTCACTACAACACATCTGAGCAGCTCAGAAAAGAGGATCATGCTATGAAAAAAAAATTATAACCATCCAACAGTGATGGGAGCTTTGCTTGGTGCAGGAGTGAAATTAAAATACAATCTCCTATTTACAGAAGAGGCATCGTGTTTTGAGCCAATCTGTAGGCTCCTTTCCCCCTCACAGTGACACAAAATTCACGAATAAGTCCAGAGGCTGGTTCACTTGACTCCAAATTAAGAGCATGTATGAGTGCCTGAGCTATCTCAGTTCCAAGGTTTGTTTTCATTTTGTGACAATACCTCAAAACATGTTTTACAAAATAAATTTACATAGCTGGAAGCATTCAAGCATATACCAAACAGGGGTAATTAAATAGGTAGATAGGCATATGAGACAACGGTGACAGAACCATGGATTTCATTTCTGCAAATGCGCCCAACTGTTCTAATCCTTACATATGTAAAGATCTAAAGATGGAATAAGATTTCTACATGCTTAAGGCAGAACTTCAATAGATATTTGCATTTCCAATGAGCAGAAAAACCAGACTTAGCATTTGCCTGATATTTTCTTCTGCACAGAACTATCTAGATTGTCAGATTAATTTATGTCTTTAAAAAAACTGGTAACTGTCTCCACTAACGATATTGACTATAACCTCAACACAAACAAAAGTGACAGTTCTATGACTTTTCAACTAGCAGCAAGCCTAATTTAATATGACCAAACTCCTTTGGAACAGACAGTATTGAACTGTAGAGGATAGACTTCCAGTTTTAACATTGTCTGAATCCACCTAGACCTCTGCCAATATTTATTCTACTCTTAAAATTGTTTTGGAATTGATCTCATCTATATGAGACCGCTTGGTGGGGTCATCAGGGGGTGTGGAGCCTCGTGTCATCAGTATGCTGCTGACCCCCAGCTCTACATCTCCTTTTCACCAACTGCAGGTGATGCCGTCCTGTCCCTCCAGCCCTGCCTGGGGGCCGTACTGCAGTGGATGCAGGAAAATGGGCTGAGGCTGAACCCGGACAAGGCGGAAGTTCTGAGGGTGGACGCCCTTGGAGTTGGTGGCCTGGGTGACTCTCTCACATTTGGGGGGGTGACCCTGGCTGCTAAGAGTGGGGTTCGCAGCCTGGGGGTACACCTGGACCAGACACTCACCATGGAAACCCAGGTGGCTTCGGTAGTTCGCACTGCCTTTTTCCACTTTTGGCGGACTGCCCGGCTGCGACCCTACCTTGACATGGGGGCGCTCACTACCTTGGTACATGCGCTCGTAATCTCAAGATTAGACCACTCTAACGTGCTCTACGTGGGGCTGCCTTTGAGGCTGATGCGGAAACTTCAAGTGGTGCAGAATGCAGCAGCCAGACTTCTTAATGGAGGGAGAAAACACCAACATATTTCTCCTGTTCTGGCCATGCCGCACTGGCTCCCCATCTGTTTCCGCATTGAATTCAAAGTTCTAATGCTTACCTATAAGGCCCTAAATGGTTTAGGACCTCGATACTTGGTGGAGCGCCTGCTCCCACCAAGATCTACTCGGATCACCCGCACGGGTCAGGAGGTGAGGCTGAGGAGCCTGACGCCGAAGGAGGCCTGGAGGAAAAAGACACGAAGCCGGACCTTCTCGGCGGTGGCTCCTCGCCTTTGGAACAACCTTCATCCGGAGATTCGCGAAGCCCCTACGCTGGGTACTTTCAAATGCCAGCTGAAAACATGGATGTACATCCAGGCCTTCCCTCCTGTCAACTACTGATTTCTTTTGCTTTGCTATTTATTATTTATTTATTCCTGCACTATTTGTTGTTGTTGTTGTATGCTAATGTTTTTATATTTTAAGTTGTTTTGATATTCTGTAAGCTGCCCAGAGTGGTAGAATATACCAGATGGGCGGGATATAAATTGAACAAACAAACAAACAATAAATATCTTTCCTAGATTTCTAACATTATTGACACCATAGTTCACGCCTTGACTGCGCAGAACACATCATCTTCTTCACCATCACCACCACCGCCAAAATGTTATGAACAGAGGTTTCCATAGATTATCTCACAAGAACTAGGATTTGTCATTGAGCATTAAACATGCTTTTTCTTGGAATTATTTAGTCCTCATTATATTAAAACCCAGCAGAACCAAAGTCCAATAAAAAAGGAAAAAAGGTGCCCTAGTGAACAGTGTTCATCTATTTCAGATCCTGTAATTAAATCAACTGGACATGGGCATAAACTGGAACTGCAAATAATTCATGAGGATTACATTTGATAATGCACTGAAAACTAAATGTCAGTGGCAGAAGAATACTTCACAAAACCTCATGAGAATAGTTACAGTATGTATGTTCCATGAGTTAAGCATCTATTTAGCTCGCTTGCAATCTAAATAAACAGATATCATAAATGTTTAAATGTGCTATAAATCACCATGAATCAATCACATTAAACAATTTTGAAGCCCTGTTTATTTAGAAGTGGGAGACAGATAAGTACAGGCTTGAGTACTTTCCCATTAAAAATGAGACTTTGGGTCGATTATGCTCATGTTTAAGAAAACTATCAATAACAGACCAACCCAGCAATGACAACACGTCATATTTACCAGCAAATAACCACAATCAATTTTCATGCATCAGAGCTTTGTGTGTGTGTGTGTGCGTGGTTAAAGCTTATAGGAAAGTATGTGTCATTTGAAAGCAATTTTGATTTGTGGTATAATTTCTTGGGCAAAAAGCACATGGCTTCTGCTGTCTTGGTCTCTCTAAAAAGAGATTACTGATGTGTTTACCCCTGTGTTGTATCAACTTTTTCATCCAAACATATGGTACCTCCCTTGAACAACACTTAAGAGTAGCACATTTTGAAAGACGAGTACTGTATTTTTCGCTCCATAAGACGCAGCTCTCCATAAGATGCACCAAATTTTTAGGCGAAGAAAACAGGAAAAAATAATCTGGGAATTTCGCTCCATAAGACGCATACACTTTTCCCCCAATGTTTTTTTGGGAAAAAAGTGCGTCTTATGGTGCGAAAAATATGGTAGTTTATCTCCCTCTCCAAATTCCACACAGAGAAAAACAGCTGGCTTTTTTTTTAAAATAAAAGAAAATTTCTCTTGACACGGCATTGCTTTTAACCAAAATTCATGGGATAGCAAAATCCGTCCCATTTTCATAGATGATTTTATGCTTCCACATTCTGGGATCCCAGCTGCACAGCCCCTCCTGGTATCCTTTTCCTACGCTTCCGACTCGTTTTTTTCTTTGTTGCTGAAACTTGAGATGTCTCTTGGCCCTTTCTCTTTTTCTTCAAGCAGCTGAGAGGATTAGGGCCACCGGCCTTTTTTCGTTTCTGTATTTTGTGCACTGCTGTCTTCACCAGCCCCTGTTCCTCTTTGAGGCGCGCAATGCTCTCTTTCTGATGCTCTGGAATGAGTTGATTTGTCTGCATTGCCTGCACAGAGGCTAAGGATTTGGCAGAAGGCTTGTCCAGAACCATAGTATTCTGAATTATGAACAGGAGAGGCACGCCAGGCCTTTTTTTAATTTTTGTTGCCAGATCCTGATCCTATTGAGGATGTAAAGAAATAAAAATGAAAGTTAGGGCAGTCTTCTCTTGTGAATATTCTGTCCTTTACTATACCTAGCACAAAGTTAAAACTTTATTTATATGTCAATGGAAAAACTAGGACATCGAGCCTCTAACAAAGTCACTTCTGACAGGGACACGTTTCAACCCATGTGGCTCTTATTAGATCCAGAGATCAAAAGACTTGATCACTAAAGCTGTTAGGACACAAAACGTACAACTATCTATTCCAAGAAAACAACTTTTTCGATTTAAATAGCAACAGTAGAGTTGGAGGTTAAAGTTAAAATCAAAACAAAGCAAAAACAAAAAACCAACCTTCCTCAACTGTTGATTGCTTTCAGAGGTAAACTGCTATTGGCTGTTGGTTTATGTAACACTTTCTCCTCCTGTGACAAACAGAGGCTTTGGGGTGCCAGGGGGAATCTTTGTCAGCATTGTGACAAGGTTTAATCCATCACCCCACAGCCTACATCCTAATCTGACCACTGATTATATGTGATCCTACATTAAATGAATACACAATTTGGCCACCAAAAACAGACATAATGTATTTCAGAGATAAATTCCAGGTGACCTTACAACATATAGGTAGTCACTTTCATCCCCTCTTCTGCTATGGTGATCGGTTTTGTATGCTAGAATACATGAATAACCAATTTTCCTAATTCCATAATGCCCGAAATTCCAGCATTTCCAGTTTTCAGGCCTAATTCAGTCTACAATCGAGGTGACTGAACTGCAAACCAGGAACTTTCTAAATATTCCTCCTGATATGAAATCTCAAACAATCACATGAGGATAATAATTAGAGATGGGGGCATTCCTCCTGCTATGAAATCTTGAACGATCATGTGAGCATAATAATTAGAGATGGGGGTTTTTGTATACGAATACCCCACACAGGTGGCAATAACGAGGATACAGCCCCATGGGGCCGGACGGTCCACTCACAATTCCGCCCCGCCGCGACCTCCACAGAGCCTTCCAATGGCTCCAGAGATTGCGATCTGTGAGCCACTCTTCGACCTGGCAGAGAGGCTTGTTGCCCCGCCTCCTCAAAGGAGTGGCGAGCTGATTGTGATCTCCGGAGCCATTGGAAGGTTCTGCGGAGCTCGCAACAGTGACAGAATTGTGAGTGGACCGTCTGTCCCCCTGGGGCTGAACCATCGTTATTGCCACCAGTGCAGGGGTATTCCTATTCATATACAAATACCTCCATCTCTAATAACACTAACCTACTTTTCAGAATTGAAAAGTTTCCAAATATAACATATCCCCACTAATACTCTCACTTAGTAATTCTAATCCTGTTGAGATATTTGATGCACAGAGGGCTACAATCCTAAGCATAGCCATGATGGCAAAATTTAAGCTTTCCAGAATTCAGCACATTCCACTTCTAAAAAAGCCAGGATATAAGCAGATTTTCAGGTACTGTCCTGCAGTTGCATGGGCCAAGGCCAAGTCTGCAGAAAATTTCCCACATATTTTCACTTTCCTTCCTGAGAACTCATTATCAGCCACATAAAGGAGAATCATGCACTAAGATGAAGTTTACAAGAAAGACAATTACCTGTGTACCAATGAAATAATGATGTGGATTGCCTTCCTCAATCATGGACAATAGGCAGGCTGAGCCACTCACTGGATTTTTGAAATGAGAACAATTGCGCACCTGAAATCTCTGTGCAATTAATTTTGCACCATATAACTCTTTCCCCAAGGATTCAAGTTCTTTTATGACGCATCTGATAGAAAATGAGATAAGAGTATAGAAACAGCAAAGATTCTTATTTAGATAAAGAAGGCATTTCAAGTTATCAACAAGAGGTCTATTTCTAAGTAAAAAAACAAAATTTGGAAGATCAGGGCCCCAAAAGCTTTACATCTACTTGAAAATAAGCCCTATTGCATTAGATGGTACTGAATTTCAGATATGAAAGCACAGATGCATTATAGGTCTATAAAACTGCCTTTGTGGTTCATTTCTATGGCTTTTCCAGAAGTTGAGTCAACTGGCCTATTTTCTTGTTAGGTTGAAATGTTTCACATCCAAGTAGCTTCTTGAATGAGTAACAAAGCGTTTCAACTTGACAAGAAAAAAGTCCAGTTGCCATGACTCAACTTCCAGATAAGGTCATCTGGATGACTGAGAATCTATTTCCATGGCTTCTCATTTCCTGTGAAAATGTAGCAGGGTTAGTACTCAGGGGGATATGTACGTGTATGTGTTGTAAAAGCTAAAGAAGTTAGCAGCAACCGATATGAACATTAGAATGACACTGTGTTATCTATCACCCCAATGCATACATATGTACTTTATAAAACAAGCAGGGTGATACAAAGAACAGAAGCCATTTCTTCATATTTCCTGCTGTCACATATGTTAGACAAAGGTCTGTTTTTAATTCCTGTTTGCTGTACACGCAGAACATATGATATGAAAAGCCTGATGAGATTTATTGGGATGAGTGGAATTGGTGGAATTTATTGGGATGAGTGGAATTGGTGGAAGACACGTCAATTATTTAAGGTATGCAGATGACATTTTTTTAGTACCATATTACAGGAAGAAAATGGCAATTTCTTAAAATGACTACTGAGGAAACTTAAGAAAATGAAAAAGTAGGGTTACAGTTGAATGTTATAAAGACAAAAACTATGAGCAGAGAAGAATTACATAACTTTAACACAGACAATGAAATGTTAGAACATTTTCTATACCTTGATTTAGTTATCATTTCAAGCAGAGACTACAGGCAAGAAATCCGAAGAAGTCTGAAACTCAGAAAGGCTGTCATGAAAGAGCTAGGAAATACCCTTAAGCCCAAGGATATTTTACTGGAGACCACGATCACAATTCTGCACACTTTGATATTCCCCATTATTATGTACAAATGTGAAGGATGGACCATGAAACAGGCTTACATTAAAAACAAACTGTTTAACTTGAAATATGGTGTTGAAGAACAGCTTTGCGGGTTACAAAAAAAGACAATGGGTTCTAGATCAAACCAAATCTGAATTCACTATAGAAGCAAAAACAAACATAACTGAGAATATTGTGATTTAAATGACTGGAAAAAGGAATCAAGCTAGAAAAGGGAAGAAGGCAGAAGAATTAACATGAGTTGGACTGTCTCAATTAAAAAAAACCCCACAGCCTTGAATTTGCAAGACCTAAACAGGGCTGTCAATGGAGGTCAATTCATGACAAAGAGGTAAAGCTACTGGTGTCTTAGGTTTATAGCATAGAACAGGGGCTCCCAACCTGGGGGGGCCCCAGTTGTTATTGCACTACATCTCCCAGAAGCCTTCACCGCTAACGGTGCTGGCCGGGATTTCTGGGAGTTGTAGTCCAAGGATATCTGGGGACCCAATGTTGGGAAACCCGGAAGGGAGACACGTGATGGTTTCGGCAACTCACCGGGTGGTGCAGATGTTGGGAACCCCGGAAGGGAGACACGTGATGGTGCTGGGGGGGCGGTGGTTTCGGCAACTCACCGGGTGGTGCAGAACTGGGTCGCCCCGCCGAGGTAGCCGGGCAATTGCTCGCGGATCTGGATCTTGTTGCGCAGCGCCGCCTGGCAGAAGGTGCCGTCCAGCAGGACCTGGAAAGGCTCCCGGAAGCCGAAGTTGTACTTGTAGAAGCCCATGTTTTTCTTGGCGTGTTTCTGGCGGGTGATCTTCATTGCGGGGACCCAGGGATCACCATAGAGAAGAAAGAGCAAGAGGGACACACAGCTCAAATACCGCTGAGCACCGGAAGGAGAAGGAGGGCGCCGGAAGTCACGATGGCCCGCGCACGCGCAGTGGACCTGCAGGGAGAAGGGCTTTAAAACAGCTCTACTAGGAAAAGGCTTTTAATAAAAGATTTTCACACCATCTGGAGACATGCCTGTTTATTCCTGCTGTTTATTGCCGTCGTCGGTGCTGTTAGTATTAACCGAAAGCACAGGCATGGAAATATTTCTGGTGAAATCCAAAGAAACAAAACAAAACAACAACAAAACCCAGAAAAGACAAAAACACGTGGCACTTTAAAGATTATTATATTTTAATATAAGCTTTCGTGGACAAGTCCACTTCGTCCGCCTTGTCCACGAAAACTCACCTTAAAATATAGTAAGGTAGTTTTGAGGTGCCACATGTTTTTGTTTGTTTCTTGAGATTTTTTGTCTGATATGCTTGCACACACTAACACGTCTTCTTCTAAAAGGTGAAATGTTTCAGGCGTACTGGCTAAGCGGTCATATCCTGTTCCACGCGAAACAGCTTATTACAAAGGCGGGAAAAAGCTGCGTGGCCTTTGTACACAATCCAAAGGCAAGGGCGGACGATTCCTTTATCAGACCACTCAAAAAAGTCACAGACCAAGGCCAATGGTCTAATACAGCAATCACCTATCCTTGCCTCTGATCAGAGCTTCTTGTGCTGCTTTGAAAGTGAGCAAGTGTCCATTGGCGTCAGCCTTCCTCTTCAACAACTATCGTTGTTGTTTCTGAGGCAAAAGATTTAAGGTGACGTCTTCAGAAAGTGTTTAGTACTGCTTTCGTTCACCTTTTCCAAGAGTGGTATTTGTTCGATCCTTTTTTTAAGAGTTTGCACACTCAGTTTTTAACTTTAAATATTGTCCTTTAATGATATAAGCCGCCTTGGGTCCAAAGAGTTTGCACACTCACAGTTTTTAACTTTAAATATTATCCTTTAATGATATAAGCCGCCTTGGGTCCTTTTCAAAGGCAAAGGCGGAACAAAAATATTTCAAATGAATGAATAAAATATAGTTAAAGTAGCCAGGATCGAGCATTTCCACAAAGGGACAAGATCCAAACTTTTGATAGGCTGGCTAATTGGGCCTTGCGCTTCAACAGGGAAGTTGCCCTAAAAGTGCAGGCCGTGCCTTTCTCATGCTTTTTCGGAAGGAAGTCTTGCCCCGCTGCGGATCCCATTGAGATCCCAAAGCGTGCCTGGGGTGGGAGGCGGCCAAACCCATCTCGAGATTGGCGCAAAACGGCAAGAAATGTCGGAGGGAAGGGGAAGAAGTAGTAGAAGAAAACCAGCGCCCATGCCCTTTCATTTCACGCTCCTGCTCCCCGAGGCCAAGGGGGACTTTGTGTGTGTGTGTCTTTCGCAGCCTCGCACTTCATCTCGCCGGAAGCATCCGCTATCGGCCCGTTACTCTCGCGGAACCTTTTTTCTCCGACCGCGTTTCCCGGCCCACCACAAACGCGTGACTCCGCCCCGGAAGTGGCGAGACCTACTTCCGGCTCCGCTTCCCTTCCCGGTCCGTGTGCGCTCTCTCTCTCTCTCTCTCTCTTCCCGTGTGCTCTCTCTCTCTCTTTCCAGACATGGCGTCCCGCAAAGAGGGAAGCGGCAGTTCTTCCGCGGCGACCAGTAAGGCCAAAGGCAAATCGGCCCCGGGAGACTCCGCCGTAAAGCAAGTGCAGATCGACGGGCTGGTGAGCTCCGGGCTGGGGGCGGTTACATGGGCTTTGGGGGCTGCCCCACGGAAAGGATGGGGGGAAGCTGGCTCTCACGGTTGCTCCTTTCAGGACCTGTTTAGGGCAGCAGTTCCCAAAGGCTTCCTGCGAGTAGACATGGTCTAGAGGGGCGGGGTATAAATGTAATAAATAAATAAATATAAATAAAATAAATGCGTGGAGTGGGGTTTGTGACGGCGAGTGTTGGTTCTCAGAGCTTGGGAAGATCACTTTTTCAGCCCCAGAAGTGAATGATCCAAAGTTGACCCCAGACTTGAGAACTGTGTAAAGAATATTAATAATAACCATCTGAGACTTGCAGGGCTGGATCATCCAGTCCATCCCCTGTCAAGGAGGCCCAGTGGGGGAATCGAACTTTCCAGCCTTTGTCTCAGCCACTGAGCTATCCTGAGAAGATCCCCCATTAGGTCAGACAGGAAGAGGTCTTAGTTTCATGCTGGTTCCAGTAATGCTTCAAAGAAGGCGACCATCAGGGCTTAAAGACAAGGCCTGGTACCCGAGGAATGTAATGTGACAACGGCAGAGCCGATGTGCCTGATAGAGCCAAGTAGTCCAGGAATCTGCTTTAGACACTGAGCAGCTGTATGTCTCTAGCAAAGAGCTCTGAAGCAGTAACACTTTGTTTTCTATCAGGAATCTGCTTTAGACACTGAGCAGCCATATGTCTCTAGCTCTGAAGCAGTAACACTTTGTTTTCTAACAACTGTCTTTCGTACCTAGATGCTAAATACTGTATATGCATTTTGGGTTATAACGTTGATAGGCCAGTTAAAGAGCTGTCCGGATTTATAATTGCTGTAGCTGCATAGTCAATGAATGAATGATAGACTGTGTAAAGAATTGAGATTTTAGTTTGGCTCTTCTGAATTAGGCATCCATCTTTCCATTCTCCCTTGCTCCTATTTGACTCCTTTGGCAGCAGACTAGGATGTCTTGTTTTCAATCTGGATGAGTACAACTAGGTGTGATTGAAATAAAGAGATGGCCAGTGATTAGCATGAGGGAAACAAGAAAGCATGCCTGTCTGGAAGGCCTTTCTTTTGATCCAGCTGCAAGAATTGATTACTGACGTGGTAGCGAGTAAAGGAACTTTATATTCACAATGAAGAGCTTGGATCTGATCAGGGTAGATTTGAATTAAATCTCAGTTTAAGTAAACAGTTGGTTTTTTGTAAATGATAAAAATAAAAATTGAATTTTAAAAATTTAAATCATGATTATTTTAAATCAAATTGATTTAAATAATAAAATTGTGATGCAAATTACGATTTAAATCAATTTGATTTAAATTAATCATTGATTTTTATCCACCCCAGATCTGATAATGACAAATGTTTTTTTAAATAATATTTTATTTAAATTCAACTAAAACATCAACATACAAAAACAAAATCAGAGAAAAGAAGAAGAATAAAATCCTTCTACTAAAGTACGCCCTCCACCCTTTGGAGTCAGAGACTCCAGCGTCGTTTTGAGGCTGAAACTTTGCTGCGATCCACAATTAAAAAATAAGTGTTGAAGACAGAATTAAAAACAAAGCTGAGAGATACCAGGCTTCGTATATATAGAATGTAACATATTTATAAGCTTTACGTTCTTTAAACTTAAGTAAGTTACTGCATTTTTCTATGTATAAATCAACACTTTTCCCTAAAATCATTAGAGGAAAAATTGAGGGTTGCTTTATACACTGATAATCACGGAGGCGAAGGAGCAGCTGTGCTTGGCCGCCTCTCGCAGTCGCCCGTTGTAGCGGGCTTCTCTGACGTCACTGCCACCTCAGGCCTCTCAGAGTGCCCGCTATAATTCTTCACTTTGCTGCCACCAAATAGAATAACCACTTAAGGAGGACAAATGTTTCTTTTAAAAACAAAAACAGGTTTATTGTGTAACAAAATAAAATATGTAAATCACTGGTTGATAATCAAGATGGTAAATCACTTTCTTCTTTAATCATTTACACAGACTTTCCCTCACTGACAACTCAGGCTCACAGGCCTTTAAACCAGCTATCTCAAGCTCATCCTTATCCAGTCCTTATCTTCCTCTTTTTTACTTCACACACATCCTTGTATAATTCAGCTCCTCCCCCTTCAGCACCATCCTCCATCTCCTCATTGGCGGATGATCCACTGCCCAGCAGTGAAGGACAGGTGAGGTCAGGGCTGCCTGTTACACCCATTGACTGCTGCCGCTGCTGCCAGATTGCCTCCTCTAGCACCACTTGCGGGTTTCATTCGGGCAGGGGACAAGGCGGCGATGTGACCTGGAGGTGAGCCCCAGCAGTGGTGCTGGAGGAGGCGATTGGGCAGTGGTGGCAGTCAATGGGCAGCCACGAGGGGTGGCCCAGCGAAGCTGCTCCTCCATCTGCTGCTGCCGCTGCCCAATTGCTTCCTCCAACTCACGTCACCACCTTGTCCCCTGCCCGAAGGGAGTCCACAAGTTGCGCTGGAGGTGATCGGGTGGCGGCAGCAGCAGTCAGTGGGCAGCCGTGAGAGCTGGAGGCAAAGGAGCAGCTGCTCTTGACTGCCTCTTGCGGCTGCCCATTGACTGCTGCCGCCGCTGCCACCAGATTATCTTCTCCAGTGCCACTCGCAGGCTCCCTTTGGGCAGGGGACAAGGCAGTGACGTGAGCTGGAAGTGAGCCCTGGCACTGGGTCACCTCCAGGAGAGGAGGTGGAGGAGCAGCATGCAAATGCGAGTAGATAAATAGGTACCACCACAGTGGGAAGGTAATGGTGTTCCGTGTCTAGTCGTGCTGGCCATGTGACCATGGAAACTGTCTATGGACAAACGCTGGCTCTACGGCTTGGAAACAGGGATGAGCACCGCACCCTAGAGTCAGACACGACTGGACAATTGTCAAGGGGAGCCTTTATACATAGAAAAATAAGGTAAATTTTGGTTATAAAAGAACTGTGATAATAATGGTAATTATGCAATGTGGTTGAAAATCTGGGATACCTAATGTGTTGTAGTGGATAGAATGATGGACTAAGACCATCAAATCCACACTTGACCATGGAAATTCTCTAGAAGGGAGTGAAACTGATAAATTAATATCTCTCTTACCTTAAAATTCCTATTTGAGTCAGCATAAGTTAGTTCTGACTTGATGACAGTCCACAGCATACTGGTCAAAATATATTGCCTCAAATAGATCAGAAGCCCATCAGAAGTAATTTTTTTTATATCTAGACAGAAGATGGTCAATCATCCTGCTCAGACAAGTCTCACATTTGCCATGTGACATATCAGTGGACATTTTAGTTATGTTTTATTCATTTTGATGGAAAAGAGATCAGAAAGAAATTCAATTAATATACAGCATTAGTGTAGAAACCAGCTCTGATTCATTAAATTCACTATTATATACTATAATGGTAGCAGATTTGGGGTTTTTAGACAGGAGTCCTTCTAAACTCTACCAGGAAATGAGATGAGTGGAAACTCATGCATGATTCCTGTCATGGAACCAAAATGCTTTAAAAGTCGATAGTGTACAAATGAGATTGTCAGGAAGTATGGTTGTCAGTATTTGATTTAAATAGGTTTTTTGATAACCATAAAAAACAAAGCTATTCATATGATGCCCATTTCTGATTTATTTGTGTAGAGAAAGTTGTAGAGGAAAAAAAAATCCCTCTCCAATTTTTTCACAAGTCTCATTGAAGATAACAATTCACCTTCTTCTCTGGTTGCCTTTCAAGGACAAGTGTGGAGTAGAATCTGCCTACTGTCAATGACAGGTCTGTCTAGTTCTTTGTTTTGTTTTGATGCCACCTTTCTCCTGGTGAAGGGACCCAAGGCGACTCCATTTAAGTATTTGTTTATTTCATTGTAGGGCCCACTGTACTTACTTATGAGTAGACACATTTATTTATTTATTTATTTATTTCTTTATTTCATTGTAGGGCCCACTGAACTTACTTATGAGTAGACACCTTTAGGATTGAACCATTGATAGAAGCACAATTTCCATTGCATTGTGCTCTCTGTAAGAAAATAAAAGCAAGTGAGTGTTTTTTTCCAAGTCCTCCTCTATACAGTACATCAGGACCAGTTTAGGATAGGCAGTGGTATCATATATAATCCAAAGTGTAAGATAGTGTTATTTGGGGATGCACATGGGCTGATGCTGTCAGAGAGTGCTGTTAATTGCCACTACATTTTGTTACTTGCCGACCATTGCAGTAAGAGTAATTATGTAAGCTCTGTAGCCTTCTACTTGCTTGACCTTAGTGGTACTCCTGAGAAAGAATATGACAAATAATGGTCTGCAGGAGTTGCTTGTTTACTGAGGATCTTCAGGTATTTATTAATTCAATCATAGTGTGCTCTGTATTTTGGGCTGGAGATAGTGTACAACAGTGTTTCCCCAAACAGTAACATAAAGATACAGTGGTGCCTCGCTTTACGATTGCCCCACATTACGACGAAACTGCATTACAACAATCTTTTTGCGATCGCAATTGCGATTGCAAAACGATGGTCTGAATGGGGTTCTTTCACTTTTTGATGATCAGTTCCCTGCTTCGGGATCCGATTCTTCGCAAAACAAAGATTTTCCTCCAGCTGATCGGCGGTTTCAAAATGGCCGCCGGGTAAATGAAATGGCTCCCTGCTGTTCCTTCACAAGACAGCCACCGAAAATGGCCGCCCTATGGAGGATCTTTGCTGGACAGTGAGTTTCCAGCCCATTGGAACACATTGAAGGGGTTTCAGTGCGTTTCAATGGGCTTTTTATTTTCACATTATGACGTTTTCGTTCTGCATCAATTGCGCTGGAACGAATTAACGCCGTAATGCGAGGCACCACTGTATTAAAAAGAATGGATAGATTTCTCTCTTTCATTTTCCAGAGTCTGAGATGATAGTGAGTGCAGCCATTCCAGATGTTCATTTGTTTTGTTTTTAATAACAAGAAAGAGAGGTAGAGAAGCAAGAGAGTCTTTAAA